TACCGGGTCCTCAGGCTAAGCTCAATGATCCATGAAGCACACATATGCAACGTGCACAGGATCCCTTGCGATCTCCGGACATGCATTGCGTGCTCACTCTCTCTCAGGACAGTCTTTCACACCCAGAGTGCGATTTCCGGTTGAGCTCACTGCATGCGACAACACGTATTAAACGTGCCAACCTGCAGCAGATCGAAGCCCATAATAATTAAGGCACAGCAAACTCAGCCCACACAGCAGCCTAGGCCTGTAGTCGGAACCATGACAACAAGTGTGCTACGAGGCTTATATTGATCATGTAGCTTGTACAGTAGCTACAGGCCATGGCAAAAGCGGAAAATCACGCCCCGCCCAGCTTCGCCTGCTTAAGGACGACCTCTTTGTAGGGGTTTGTGCTGCAGTTTTTATCAACAAACTTCCGCTTCTTGAGTTCCTTCAAGCTCACACCGGCCAGCAACCGAGCCTTCTGAAGCGACGAGTTCCACATCCTACATGCCTCTTTATTGCCATACTGTGGAGCGTGTGTAGCAATATAGGTCAGTCGCTTCTCACCATAAAGGTTCGGCACGTAAGCTTCGATCAAGTCCGGGTCCAGCTCCTCCGCATCCTCCGTCTCGGCCGGCTTGCTCTTATTAACCTTGCTGTTAGCGCCCTTTTTGGGCTTCTTCGCCTTGGGCGCCTCGTCCTCGTCAGGCTTGTCATCATCATCCTCAGGAGCGAAGGCCCCTGCGTACTGGCTGTTCAAGGGGAACCCTTTGGAAGGTTCAGGCAGCCGTGCGGCAAGATCAGCGAAAACCTGAGATGCAATCGATCGCTGTCTAAATGTTTAGCAGTGCTTCTCATGTACAAACCATAATATGCACATGTAATAGGAGCTGAGAAACTGCAGATGGCAGGCACTTCTCAGGCTTATTGCCGGTGGGGATAGGAGCAGGCTTCGAATCGGGACTCCCAGCTGAGGTCGTGATATTGGAACCCGCAGAGTCCTTATTGTCCTTGCCAATCAAGCGAAGCCCCTTCAGCTGCGAAGCCAAACGACTCACTTCGGAATCACTCTTCGACAGCAGGCTACAGCTGGACAGCGTACCGGAGGAGCTGCTGGATTCCGAAGACTGCATAGACAGGGTTTCGAAAGAAAGCATCCTGACCCCCGACGGTGTGCCAGCATGCACAGGCACATCATCATCTTCATCATCGCCATCTTTGTTGTCCTTGCACACCTTAGATGCATATGACGATTAGCGTAGCAACCATCACTCAATCAGGATACGGGCGTCTGATGTCATGACAGGGGACCAAGCTAGCGATCCCCAAACCAGCGATTCGTCGCCTCAAAGGGTTCAGCTTTCTGTCCTTGGAAGTCCTGGCCCTCTTGCAAATGCGACGGGTGCGGCCAACCTGAGCTAGCACTACAACACTTCATATGTATTCACTGAAATCACGATCGAAGGGTGCCATCTTGTAATTAAGCAGAGCCACTAGCCTCTTCAAGGCATTGCCATGCTTCAAAGCCCAGGTTTTAGTACACTCAGCATCTGCACATAGCCCAGCCGGAAACAAGTTATTGCTGGTGTAGAACCGAAGGATGGCATCGCGAAGCATGTAGGCACTTAAGCGGGCCGCCCCATTGGTGGCCTTGACCACTGCAAAGATCGCCTCAGAATTATGGGGTCCCCAAGCCTGTAAATATTTGATTTGAAATGGATTGTATGCACACACATTCTATGCAATCGAAGCACATCCTGATTGCATCGCACATCTTTCAGGCTCGGCCGCTTTGTGAAGAGCTTGCCCGAATGGTCACACAAGAAGCCAAGCCCCGCCTGCCGGGTCTATGGTATGTGCAGGCGTATGGTGTGTGTGCATGCCTCAGGCTATAAGCCAGCTAAGTTAAGCTGAATCCATGCCAATGTGTGCGTGTATATGTACGTGTATATTCTGTATGTATGTGTGTGCAAATATGTATTTAGGCAATTGTGTGTGTGTGTGTAGATGTATGCACGGGTGTGTGCATGTATGTGTGCAGGTATGTATGTATGTATGTAT